CAGAACATTGATCAGCTACCAGGGATTTAGCCACAACCTGAGTGTGTTCCTTGGCCAGGAATCGGACTAGCAACATGGTACAACCCACTGAGCCACACCAGCCCACTGAGACACTGACTTCACCCCCAGTTCCTGGAAGAGGAAGAGGGAAAATGAATTTCTCCCCCCTTGATGCTGTTAGAAATAACGTGAGCCCCCAAAACAGGGATCCAAAGCATACAACAGGGCAGTATCTTCACTCCTGCAGGAGGGTGCAGCACACACCGAGTCTGACACAGGTCATCTGTCCCTCACTCCTGATTGGTCAGAGCTTAGGCTCACGTTTTGCGTGATTGGCTAATTTAAAGGAAAAAGGGAAGAGCTGACCTTTGCTATTTCAAAATGGTGGCCCCCCAGGGGAGCTGTAAGTCACATGAGCCAAAACGGCAACTGCCTAAACTCCCTCCTTTGACAGAAAAGATTGTTTCTCACAGTGCCTTCGGGTGTGGATGTCCAAGCCCAGGATGGCAGAGGTGAGAGAAGGGCTGTTGGTGTGGTTGTTAGTAGCTTTTTCTGTTGTTTTTTAATCAAATGTTCTTTTAAACAAATATAAAATAAGTTAACTTTGTGAAAGATTATCAAGCTATACCTACTTTATACTTTTTAAAATGTATGTTATACTTTAAATATTTGTCAGTAAATAAATTTCGTCATTCAGAGGTTACTCCTCCCTATACATTTAAGCACATCATATTGTTAAGCAGTTTTTCAGAAACAATAACAGCGAATATCAGCGGGACGCTCTCACTTGTGTTTGTGTAGAACTCGGCCTTCACAGCGCCCCCGTCATTTGGCAGGATCATCCTCCTCAGTTCACAAATGGAAGTTAAACTCACCAGAGGTCATGCAGCTGCACCAGTGGTTCTCGAAGTGTGGTCTGTGGGTTCCTGGGCGCCCCCAGAACCTGCTTTTGGGGGGTGGGGTGAGGTCCGCCCTATTGTCACAAACTAGAAAGGCATGGTTTGTCCTTTCTTAGCGTTCTCCAGGGAGTGTGCTGGGTCCCCAGGCTGCGCTGGCTCACCTTGAGTAATGTGTGCGCATGCGTCGCTGTCTCCAGGGAGGCGCGGGGCACAAATACATGTTTTTAGAGTTTGCCACGGTTTGTTTTCTACTTGTACGAGCTCTTACCAGCCGCTGTGGTTCAGCTGCGACTTACCATGCGCTGGACCGTGTCCCCGAGAAGTTGCATGCGGAAGCCCTGCCGCCTCGGCCTCACAGGTGACTGTAGGAGAGAAGGCTTCACAGAGGCAAGTAGTTCCAGGGGCCGAGGCTGCGGGGGCCCAACCGCCTGGCTGGCGTCCTTTCAGGGGAGGCCGGTTGGACACATGAACCTCAGGTCTGTGCACAGAAGAAGGCGAAGGTGGCCGTCGCAGACCAGGAGGAGGCGCCTGGGTACCACCAGCCCTACCAACCCCCGAATGTGGGGCTTGCAGCCAAATAAACCTATTGTGTAAGCCGCCCTGGCATTTTGTGCAGGCCCAGCCCTGACACACTTGCTATAATGCAGAAGCCAACCTACCTGTGGTGTTTCGAGCAGGACATGAAAGAGATTTGCAAAAATGTAAGACAATGCCACTCTTCTCACTGATTTTTTTAGGAGAAGAGATAGTTCTTCATCAAATACATTGTTTTGTTAATATGCAATGGGTTCATTCTTATTTTTAAATACATTAATTTTTTTTTTGTTTAAAAAAAACTGATTTAATACTTTTAGAGCAGCTTTAGGTTCACAGAGAAAGGCTAAGTTTCGTTTTAAAGTCCAGCAAATTAGAGCCACCTCTGTATCTCACAGAAACGAGTTCTTTGGGTCCTCGGTGAGCTCTGAGTGCACAGGACCCCGGAGGCCTCACCGTCTGAGAACTGCTGGGCTGCACTGTCCTTGCCTCGAGGGATGACGTTACACGTGATTTGTAATGAGCTTTCCTCACCCTGAGGTCGGTGGGGGATCACGTCCGCTGTCCTTAGATCCATGTCTGTCATTTATCTTCAGTGGCTGCACAGCTGCCCATTGTGTGTGTTCACAGGTAGCTCATGTGACGGTCAGTGAGCTGGTGTCCGGGTTTGGCTGTTGAAACAATTCTGGGTGGCACAGATTGAGCATTTGTCTCCTATGCTTGGGAGGTCATCTAGAAATGGGATTTAAGTGATTTTGAAGATGTGATTAAAGTGTTTTTATTTGGAACATAAGGTTTCTCCATTTTGTTTTACTCAATTATGAAATACAAACAGAACAATGCATAAAACATATGCATCCTTTGACAGACACACCCAGCAGCTTTTGGGCCCATTGGTTTGAAAGGCTGACCTGCTAGAAGTTGTCTCAGAGATTAGGAATACTGTTTCTTCATTATAAGCTACTAGAGGCCCAGTGCACAAAATTCATGCACTGGGGGAAGGGGTTCCCTCTCACCAGCCGTGAGCCTGGCTCCTGGCTGACCAGCACTCCCCCTGTGGGATCGAGCCGAAACTCCCCAACATCCCCTGAGGGATCCCGAATTGTGAGAGGGTGCAGGCCAGGCCGAGGGACTCCACAGGCGCATGATGGGATGGGAGAGAGACATGGGAGGTTGGCTGCCTGGGGGAGGGCTCCAGGACGTGTCCAGCCCCTCTAGCTCAGTCCCTATCCACAGGACCCCAGCAGCAAGCTAACCTACTGGTCGGAGTATCTGCCTTCTGGTGGTCAGTGCACATCATAGCGATTGGTTGACCTGTTGACCGTCTGCCCCTTGGTGGTCAGTGCAAGCGGTTAGCAACCTTAGTATACCATTAGCATATTAAGCTTTGATTGGTTGAACGGCTGACTGGTTGACCAGACATTTAGCATATTAGGTTTTTATTATATAGGATCATTATTGCCCATTTTCTACAACCCTTTTACCCGTCAGCTGTTGGTTTAACTAACAGTCTTCGACTGTTGGTTATTTGCTTTCAGCATGGGGCTGATACGGACCCAGCTTTCAGGTGCTACTGAAGTCAAGTCCATTGGAGGAGCTGCCCAGGAGTGTGGGAGACATTTTGACCTTCAAAGGTCTGGAAACAGCTACTGTCTTATTGATGGGCATCTTGTCGATGCCTTTCCACTCTCATTTTGGGAAACTTTGGTGATTGTCGACCAGGGACTTCGTAAGATAGTGTTGGCTTGGGAGCGCTATGATCCCAAGGACCTACCTCCGCATTGCCCCGGAGACATGTGATGCGCTTTGCTAACCAGACCAGGACTGAGAGGGTGGGAAAGGATGGCAACTTCGAGCACATCTCCAGAACCATGGGACCTCACAGCGTTCTCGTCCCACCCCAAGGGAAGAACTAACATTTTTTTAGATGCCCACTGTGCCCAGGCATAGTGCGTAATTTTGCGCAGGTTTCACAGCCACCTTCTGAGATGGTGGCATTATCATTGATTTATAGACGGAAAATAAGTTAGGTAATTTGCCCAGAATCCCGATTCCACTCCCAGTCTACATGACAATACACCGTGTTCTTCCTCTTCACACTGCTGCTACACAAACCAGCAAAGCTGCTTTATTTACTGGGACACGGAGACATCAGTGGCCATGGCCTCATCGCAGCACCACCTCTGAGTCCAACTGCAGAGGACAAAGAAAGCGCGGAAAGGGAGTTATTGTTCAGTCTTCCCGAGGGAACCCCGGCCCAAGCCCTCGAGGCTTTCAGAATTCCTAGGCCAGACTCAGTGACTGAGAGCCTTACAAACTGTGTTTTTTCCTACTGATTAGGATCATGTTTTCCATTGCCTTTGATTTTTTTTTTTTAAAGACCTCACCAACCAAGTTTGTTATTGTGTGCGTGTGTGTGTGTGTGTGTGTGTGTGTGTGTGTTTTAATAAAAACACAATCCAGGGCTCGGGTCCCAAATTTTCAATGTTTTGTCCTGTCAGATTATCTGTTTCCTCTTCAATTTATTTGTAATATAAACCTCACCTCATTTATGCTCTGATGATGCTGGGACTGTGCCCAGCCTTCCCAGCTGGTATGTCAACACATTTCTACAGGCAACGATAAGGGCCATAATTTTAACAAAAACCTAAACACTTCAAACAAAAGTAGCCCCCCCCCCTCAAACCCCCCCTTCCTGGCTCCCCTTCCCCAGTGGCTTATTAAAATCAACTTGAAGTCAAAACCGTGAGCAAATGTGCCTCTTCCAAATGTGCAGCTCGAGGCAGATGCACGGTCAGACATTTGCCTTTTCGGGTTGCCCTGGGAAGAAGAGCTAACAAAAGGGGGGCCAGCCCTCGGACAGCTGCTTGGGGAGGAGGACATCTGCCTCTGCTCTCCCCGCCATTCAGGGCCGGGCCTGGCCTTGAAAAGAGCATGTGGGGCCGGGGAGCCAGGGGCCGAAGGCAGCCAGTTGTTATAGGGCTTTTGTCTCCACGAAGCCATCCATTACTGCAGGGCCCTGACTCGCAGGAAGCCAGCTGTCAGGGCTGCGGCTCACCCCCCGGGTGGGAGGCGAGGGAGAGCAAGTGTCTGTGGCCACATTTCCTTTTAGACACCTGAGCCCGGCTGGCTGGGTCCCCGGAGAGTTCTGTCTTCAACTCCCACTTCCATAGTCCCTAGGGGCCCCTCTCGCTCGCCACTCCGGGGAAGGGAAGACAGCAGGTTGGGATCCTGGCTTTGCAGCAGCAGCAGCAGCAGCAGCAGCGGCTCCCCGAGTGCTGGGCTGGGCTCTGCGGCGGCCGCCCAGGCTGGGGCGCTCTGCTCTAGCGCTTCCTTTTGAAATCTACCCCCTCCATTTTTTTTTTTTTTTTTTTTTGAGGCAGGTATGATGATGTCAAACGTGATGCTGCTGCCACAGTCACAGCCGCGGCCCCTGCTGGCGCAGCCTCGCTGACTCGCCTCCTCTCCGCGGCCAGCGCCGGCTCCTCAGACAAGTGCATCGCCGAGCCGGTCCCATCGCAGCCGGACCGCGGCCTCCGGAGCGGACCGGCGGGGCAGCGCCCAGGGAGCCGGCAGCGCCCGCCGCGGAGGCGGAGGACCCGCACTGCGGCAGCGGACCGGTGCACCGGCCACCATGCGCGCCCCGGGCTGCGGGCGCCTGGCGCTGCCGCTGCTGCTGCTCGCGGCGGCCGCCTGGGCCCAGAGCGACGCCAAGGGGCTCCGGGAGGGCGAGACCCCCGGCAACTTCATGGAGGACGAGCAATGGCTGTCGTCCATCTCGCAGTACAGCGGCAAGATCAAGGACTGGAACCGCTTCCGAGACGTAAGCCTGCGGGGCGGCCGCGGGGGCCGAGGGGGGGTGGGGGGCAGCTGGGGAGCCGGGACCCCGCGCGGCCCGAGGCCCCGCCGCCCCGCGGCTCCCGGTAAACAAGGGGCCCCGCCGGGCTCGGCCCGTCGCCGCCCGCACCGCCGCCGGGAGCCCCGTTCTGGGTCCTCCTGGCCCGAGGGGTCTCCCCGACAGGGATGCGGGATGCAGGGTGTGGGCTGCAGGGCGGGAGGGGCGGGAGCCCAGCCACCCCGGTCCTTTTATTTATTTGCATTTATTTGTATTTATTTCTGAGCCGCTCGGCTCTCACCCAGCACCCAGCACCCAGCACCCAGCCGGCTGGCGCTGCAGGCTCCGCACCCGGCGCTGCGGAGGGGCCGGTCTGGGCGGGGCTGGAGGGGAAGGTGGCTTCGCACGCCCGGCACGTGTGCCCGTTCTCTCCTCGGGCTTTGGGGACGGGGCCCCAGGGGAAAGGGCTGGGGCTTTGGTTTGGGGGCGGAGGGTCCTCGATCCCAAGGCGGGGTGGTCAGAGGCGGGTCTGCATGGGGGAGGGGGCCCCGGGCGACGGCGGCGGAGATGCCCGCGGCCACCCCGGGCCTCCCGAGCCCGCGCCCCAGAGCGCACACGGTCCGGTCTCCCGGACCGGCCCTGCCGGGGAGCCCAGCCCCGAGCCGGGGAGGAGAGACTCCCGTGGCCCCGGGTGCGGGAGGCAGAGGTGGCGGCCCGAGCGGGCGGGGCCGGGCGGCACCGGACGGGGCGGGGGCTGCGGACCGGCCGCCCTGCAGCGCGGTGTTTACCGGCACCTGTGGCTCCGGGGGAGGCGGCGCGGTCCCGGGGGGAAGGGGGAGCGGAGCGGGCGCGGAGGGCGGGGGTGGGAGTGAGAAGGGGAGGAGGGGCCGGGATGCGCCGCGGAAACACGACTGGTCCCAGCGACCTGGTGCTCTCCGATGCCCGTTCCCGGAAGAAACCTTTTCTGCGACCTCAGCTCTGGCTCCTCGGTCCCCAGGTGCCCTCCTCCCACCCCCCAGGGCAGCACCAGCCGCCCCGCGACCGTTCTCCTCTTCTCTTAAGTCGCACGCACCCAGCAGTCCTCCCAGACGTGCTGGAGACACGCAGGCTTCCTGCGAATGGCAGCCAGAGGATGGAAGAGGCTGGGAGATAAGGATCTTTTTGTTGCTGGGAGAGGAGGGACCGCTTCTCCCCAAAGTCATGGCCGGCTGAAATGCATCAGAAGGAGCCGCTTGCGGCCCGTCCTCTGGACAGCGGCCTGGTCTTAGGATCTAGGACCCTCTAGCCCCACCCGCGGCAGGTGCAGCCAAGCACCGGGAGCTCCGGCCAGGCCTCCTCCTCCGCCCCTGCAGGCCGGGCACAGACTAGCTGGTCTCCTGTCGCCGCCTGGGCAGCAGGCCGGTCACAGCCACAGGGAGGGGCTGGGGGCTGGGGGTTGGGGGTAGAGGTCGGGGGAACGGCAGGCTGGTCCATCCCAGCCCGAACCCATGTGTCACTGGTCCAGGCCTCCCTCAGACTCACTGGCTGATCTTCCAAAAAAACCAAAACAAAAGGTACTGGTGAAGGTCAGAAGGAAAAGAAGTGCTTCATCAGAACATGAAAGGTTTAAAAATAAAAGACGCCGCCCCACTCCCTTCCTCCACCTGCTTCCAGTAGCCCACTTGGTGGGTGAGGATAAAGATTGGCTGCTTGACCCCCGGCACAGGGCTGCCCACCTGTCCCCCTGGATCGGTGCCAAATGCTCCCCCCTTCCTCCCATGCTCATCGGGAGAAAGGCGCGGGTTTGGAATTCTGCAGGGCCTGCCCCAGGGGATTCAGGGGAAGCCGCTGGGCTGTGTCGGTGGGGTGGCCTGAGGCTTTTCAGGGCAGGTTTCCTCAAAGCCCCAGGAAAGGGGAGCTCTGGCTGCAGGACAGGGTCAGGGGAGGCTGTGGAGAAGGTTCCGGCGCTGGGACCTGCTGGCGGCTTTTGCAGAAAGGCAGGATGCTGCCAGCTCAGAGGCACTGCATTGCATAACTTTAGGGGTGCCCCGGTGTGAAGGGCGCTCCCTGGAATTGTGCAGTACACGGGCTGTGTCCAGGGGGCTGTGCCAGCACCACAGACACCCTCCTCTGTTAGCAGAGGTCCTGCTTCCCACCCGAGGGGCGGAAGGGCCTCTGAAAACATGCGCGGCTCCTGCACGCGGACAGAGGCGTTTCTTTTGGACCTTGAACGTGCTGTCAAGTTGAGCCAGAACCTTGTTCACCATCAATCACAAAATAGCACGGGGTCCCTTGTTGGAAGGGAGGTGAGCAGGAGAACGGGATATTCTTAGGACATACGATGGGGGTGTCCCTAGTGAGGGTGGGGGACACGTCTCATTAACTGGCATTGACTGGGCTGAGGGGAAGGCGGAGGGAATCGTGTCTAAGGGGCCAGGGGAAGAAGAAAAGGCGGAAAGCTTGGAGCTGTGCCCACGAGGACCTGGTCTGAGCTGGTGGGCGAGTCCAGCTTAGCCTTTTTCTCTGAGCACTAGGGGTAATGAGGGCAGGGTTTACCGGGAAGCACCCTCCCCTTCAGGGGGCACAGGGCTTTCCTGTCCTGGCCCCGGGCAGACCTCTGCCAACGCCCAGGAGGAGGGAGTGCCATGCCAGAGGAGCAGGGGATGCTGGGACCCAGCTGTGCCTGGCCCTGGGCAGGCCCGGGCTTCCCAGAGCCCTGCGGCCAGTGCCCCCGCCCGGACTCACTGACAGGGCGGGGCTGTCCTGCAGGCCTTTGGGACCAGCACCCAGGGCCTCAGAGACAGAGATGGACAGCTGCGAGGTGCCAGGCCATTACCCAGCATTCTCCCGGCGGCTCCCAGCGCCTGGAGAGGCAGCACTCACCGACTGTTCCTCCTCTTCCCGGCTCTTCCCTGCTTTGCACTCTGTCTCCATTAAAAGTTAATGGCATTGATGAGTGTCCAGCACTGTGCTTGGCGCCCAGGAGGCACCCAGGAGGCACCCGGGAATGTGCTGAACCCCTGATTGCCATGAGTGCTCGCATCTGCCATTCCCTGCGGGAGGCACTGGGCGTAGCCCCTCGGTGCCCCGGGCAGTCTGTGAGGTCCTTAGGGTTACTGTATGGCCCACTCGTTTGGTGGCTGAAGAAATGGAGGCACAGAGAAGTGAAGGAATGACTGGGGGTCCAAGAGCCAGTGGGTGGCACCGCTGGCATTTGAACCCACTTGTCTAAGACAGCTTTGCTTTTCAGGGAATTCTAGGCTTAACCGTTAGTGGCAAGGGGAAGGAAGGACCTACCCTGAAGAGTAAGGTCCACCCTGGCTTATGCTCTGTGAGTCTCAAGGATGCCTGGGTGGGAGCAGCCCCGCCTACGGAGTGGGCCCCAGCTGCTCCCGGCCTCTGGGCAGGTGACCCCCAGGAGAGGCGGGAGCGCGGGGCCTGGAGGCCTGGGTTCAGATGATGGCTCTGCCACGTGATGCCAGGCAGATCCTGTAACCTCTCTGAGCTTCAGTGTTAGGCAAGGAGACGGGAATGGGTGCATGACCACGAAGGCCCCCATTTAGGGCAATGAATACTCTGTAGCCCCACCGAGCAGCCACCAGCAGGCTTGGCATTGCCAGGCAGCCAGCCATGCCCTGGGGAGCAGGCCAGTGAGGAGGCGCCGGCAGCTCATCTCCATGAAAAGAGGCTGATGCTCATTCACTAACTCACCCATTCACTGCAGACTACGCCCCTCCCAGGGAAGCTTCGCCTGCGGGCCACACAGGGCTCCCACGTCCCTGTGCTCACCCAGCGGGCCAGCAGCAAGTTTCAGCCTCCCAGGTGCTTCCTATGACCGCCCTGCCCCTCACACCTTAGCCGGGCCGGTGTGGGGATGAGCCGCACAGATGTTGGTGGATCAGTGTAGGAAGTGAGAAGAACCCAAAACTGGGTCAGGGTGGATTCCACAATTGGGGTTCTCCCCTCACCTCTCCCTCCGCCCTGGCTTTGAGTCCTCTCTCACACAAGAGCGGTGTCACCATGGAGAGGGACTGGAGCACCCAGCAGGGCTCCGGCCTTGGGAGGAGGGAGAGCAGAGCCCCCTGCCTGGAGAGGATGCCATGTGCTCCTCTCATCTCCCAGCTCCTCTAGCAGGACAGCTGACACCACCCACCCGTCTCCGGGCATCTCCGGGCCGGCTGTCTGCAGGGGTGGAGAGCTCTATCCTGCCCCGAGCCCCAGGGTCCCCGGAGAGCGCTCAGCTTGTCTTCCGGGTGAGAGGACAGACGAATCGTGTGGCCCTGGGGGAGCCACCTCACATCTTTGGCCCTTGATTTCCCCATTGGTTTAATGAGCAGGCTAACCAGAGCCACTCACCACACTCCCGTCACTCTGCGACGCCAGGAAGGCGGCACTGGAGCCCAGGAACAGCCCCTTCCCCGCAGACACAGCCCACACCCACCACCCAACACCCACCACCCAACACCCACCCCCCACTCCTCACCCCCCACCCAACACCCAACACCCAACACCCACCACCCAACACCACCCACCACTCCCCACCCAACACCCACCACCCAACACCCAACACCCACCACCCACTCCTCACCCAACACCCACCACCCACCACCCAACACCCACCACCCACTCCTCACCCAACACCCACCACCCCCCACCCAACACCCCCCACCCACCCCCCACCCCCCACTCCTCACCCCCCACCCAACACCCAACACCCACCCCCACCACCCACCACCCCACCACCCACCACCCACCACCACCCCCAACACCAACACCCACCCCCCACTCACCCCCCCCCCCAACACCCAACACCCAACCCCCAACACCCACCCCCCACTCCTCACCCACCACCCAACACCCACCACCCACCACCCAACACCCACCACCCAACACCCAACACCCAACACCCAACACCCACCCCCCACTCCTCACCCACCACCCAACACCCACCACCCACCACCCACCACCCAACACCCACCACCCACCACCCAACACCCACCACCCAACAC